AATCCGATACGTTTAGGTGATAAGAGGGCGACTTCAACTGTCTTTATGAGCTTCTGAAGATTCAGGTTTGATTACGTCAATAAACCCACATTTAGAGCCCTATTCCTGGTTTCTAACTGTATGAACTGAAGCCATGTGCTAACTTTTAAATGCTCCTCCTTTGGTCAAAAAAGGTTTTAGTTTGTATTTTTTTGGCACATCCATGTATGATTTCTTCTATGCATTGAAACAGTTCTTGAATGGGTTGATAATAGAGGCCGAATCATCGGACAGATGACTTTCTTGGGCCCATGTTAGCATTATTTTGTGTTGGTGTTGGGTTCAGAAAATGTAGGTTTTTGTAAAAGGAAGAACTGAAATACACAATAAGGGATTTTTCATACGGCTTCTGCAGAAGGAGAGACAGTTGAACCCCAGACTCAAACACACTGTCTTCCACTGGACCTCCTCCGCAGAGCGTTTTATTAACAGAACATGACACATGGTTACAAACAGAGTATTGTTCTGACAGAACAATTGATCAGTTAATAAAGACAGGATGTTCCACTAGAATCACAAGGCAGGATGGTCTCCTGACTGAATCACAAGACACAATGGAGCATCCCCTTGCACAAATGTTTCATAAACACACATTAATTTTATAATCATCATTAAATAAACCTTGGCAAACAGTTGGCATTGGCCAGTTCATGAATTTGCCAATTCAATATTGCATTCAGCAGCCATGCCTTGGTTAGACTGATGTTAAGTGATCAATATCTGCATCATTCGGTTGCAGGTTCATTGTCACCTGGTGACATGGTACCACTTTACTGTATAGCTGTGTGTCGTCTGCATAGGTTTATTTCATTGCTGAACCAGAAGACCAACCCAGTTTTTCAGGGACTAATCCTATAGAGCGGAGGTCTTCAACAGGGAGTCCGGGACTTCAAGGGGGTCCAAGGAAGTACTGCAGGGGGGTTACGAAAGTTTTGGTTGATTAGACTTTTTTTTTTATATTGCCTCCGCAGTTTTTTCCACTAATTAAAATGTCTTTAAATCCAAATTAACATGAATTCAACAGACTGTAGTAAAAAGATAAATGGAGTCAGAAGATGTCTTTCAGTCATCAATGCACACATTCAGAGACACACAGGAGCTCTTTCAAGCTGGGCACCGTTTCATTCACAACACCTGTCCCATCAACCAGGAATAAGAAATACTTTAAAAATCCCAGGGAGAAATAACATGACTTACATGATTCGATATGTAATAGAGCAGGGGTCACCAACCTTTTTACGGATGAGGGCTACTTCATGGCTACCGAGTCATAGGAAGGGCTACCAATACTGACCTATGAACTGGAGGGATCAGAGTTCACCTACAGAAAATCTCATCCATAAAAACTCATTTTTATTCTTATTTTATTCTTTTATTCATTCCTAATTTTCTTTTTAATATTGTCATTTTGAAACCACTGAAATATGATGAAATAGTTAACATGATGAAATAATACATAAATGATTAAGAAGAAGAGCAACAGAATAAAAAAAAATTAAACTTAACCCACTGAGTGAGTTGTTCTGTTTTCAGAAGACGAAGAGGGCCCCCCATATGGTCCTGGAGGGCCCCTTGGTGCCCGCGGGCACCGCGTTGGTGACCCACTCTATTAAATAGAGTGACTATAGGATCAGTTTGATAAAACACAATTTCATACAATATATATAATTAGGGGGTCCCCGCTCCATCTCACCATCAGTTTGGGGGTCGTTGGCCTGGAAAACATTGAAGACTCCTGCAATAGAGCGATCAACAGTGTTGAATGCTGTAGTAAAGTCCAATAATATCTTCGATGTGGTTCTTCCACAGTCTGCCTTTTATACAGATGTCACTAAACACCTTGACAAGGCTGGTCTCTGTACTGAGGTGAGCAGAAAAACCTGACTGGAAGAAGTTGAGGTGTTTGTTAGGAAGGTGTTCAGCTGTTGAAAAACAACTTCTTCAATGGTTGTACTAGGGATGGAACGGTTTCTAAAAACCGTCCGAACCGTTCGGTTCGACTGTCTCGGTTC